GCGTGGGGGGCGGGGGCACGGGCCGAGTATCGGCGCGGGGGAAACGGAGTCCAGGGGGGCGGGCTGGCGGGCGGGCTGAGCAGCAGACAAGCTCTGGGTCATTTAGCCAGACGGGCCATCTGGGTCCTTTACCCACAGATCGGGGCGGGAAGGGGGGGCGCTGTGTGCGGAGGGACACCCCCACGCCTCCCTGATACAGCGCCCAGGACGGGGAGGATCTGCCACACCCATAGAGGCCGACCCCATTGGTGCTTTGGGGGGCCTGGGTGGGGGCCTAGCCCCTGGGGCGCCACACTAGCTCCTATCGATCAGTCACCGTGGGGTCTGGCGACTGGACTGTCAGAGACTAAGTCCATATTTTTACGCCTTCCCCGAAACCCTGATGGCAGGTCAGAGATTGTGGGTGTCGGGCAAAAACCTCCAGGCGCGGGACGTCCCGACAAGTAGGCCGGGAAGGGTGGTCTCCCGTCGGGCATGGTTTGGTGGGCTCGGGCCTGGGTCTAACCAACGCCCCGGTGAGCGCCAGGCATAACGTATTCCTGTTGGACCTTTGGCGCTAGATGCGTAAAGATGTGCCGCTGGTGAACCATCGATGGAGCCGCTGGTGAACCATTAATGGGGGCCTCTGAGATCCAGCGTTGGGGAGGCCTGTGCCCCGCGCGCTCTGCCCGGGGCACACACACCCTTCTTGGGGAGCGAGCCCAGCCCCTGGGGCCTCTGAGATCCAGCGTTGGGGAGGCCTGTGCCCCGCGCGCTCTGCCCGGGGCACACACACCCTTCTTGGGGAGCGAGCCCAGCCCCTGGGGCCTCTGAGATCCAGCGTTGGGGAGGCCTGTGCCCCGCGCGCTCTGCCCGGGGCACACACACCCTTCTTGGGGAGCGAGCCCAGCCCCTGGGGCCTCTGAGATCCAGCGTTGGGGAGGCCTGTGCCCCGCGCGCTCTGCCCGGGGCACACACACCCTTCTTGGGGAGCGAGCCCAGCCCCTGGGGCCTCTGAGATCCAGCGTTGGGGAGGCCTGTGCCCCGCGCGCTCTGCCCGGGGCACACACACCCTTCTTGGGGAGCGAGCCCAGCCCCTGGGGCCTCTGAGATCCAGCGTTGGGGAGGCCTGTGCCCCGCGCGCTCTGCCCGGGGCACACACACCCTTCTTGGGGAGCGAGCCCAGCCCCTGGGGCCTCTGAGATCCAGCGTTGGGGAGGCCTGTGCCCCGCGCGCTCTGCCCGGGGCACACACACCCTTCTTGGGGAGCGAGCCCAGCCCCTGGGGCCTCTGAGATCCAGCGTTGGGGAGGCCTGTGCCCCGCGCGCTCTGCCCGGGGCACACACACCCTTCTTGGGGAGCGAGCCCAGCCCCTGGGGCCTCTGAGATCCAGCGTTGGGGAGGCCTGTGCCCCGCGCGCTCTGCCCGGGGTACACGCACTCTCCGGCGGCAAGCGCTGGTACCAAAGGACCCCCTAGATTTGCACCTAATCACCAGCCGTGCCCGGGCACCCCACTATTAAGCCCGGGGACACTAACTCCTCCAAACCGCATGGATCAGACAGACGTGCTGCTGGTGACCCAACTGGCCAAGACGTACCGCTGGTGGCCCAATCGGTCTTTGGGTTTGTGAATGGGTCACCACCGGCCCTGGGCTCGTGTATGGGGCACCAGCCGCACGTCGTTTTAGCCTCCGTCAGCGGTGGGGTCTTATGTTTGCTGCGGAAATATGAGCGCTGGGAGGCGGCTTAGCAGCTCAGCAATGGACCCCTAGCTCCCCCGGGTTCGAACGCATCTCCTGGGGCTTCTTTGATTGCCTTTGAGGCCTGGGTCTTTGGCTGAACCAGGGCAGTTGCGCGCACCTAGCTCCCCCGGGTTCGAACGCATCTCCTGGGGCTTCTTTGATTGCCTTTGAGGCCTGGGTCTTTGGCTGAACCAGGGCAGTTACGCGCACCTAGCTCCCCCGGGTTCGAACGCATCTCCTGGGGCTTCTTTGAATGCCTTTGAGGCCTGGGTCTTTGGCTGAACCAGGGCAGTTGCGCGCACCTAGCTCCCCCGGGTTCGAACGCATCTCCTGGGGCTTCTTTGAATGCCTTTGAGGCCTGGGTCTTTGGCTGAACCAGGGCAGTTGCGCGCACCTAGCTCCCCCGGGTTCGAACGCATCTCCTGGGGCTTCTTTGAATGCCTTTGAGGCCTGGGTCTTTGGCTGAACCAGGGCAGTTGCGCGCACCTAGCTCCCCCGGGTTCGAACGCATCTCCTGGGGCTTCTTTGATTGCCTTTGAGGCCTGGGTCTTTGGCTGAACCAGGGCAGTTACGCGCACCTAGCTCCCCCGGGTTCGAACGCATCTCCTGGGGCTTCTTTGATTGCCTTTGAGGCCTGGGTCTTTGGCTGAACCAGGGCAGTTACGCGCACCTAGCTCCCCCGGGTTCGAACGCATCTCCTGGGGCTTCTTTGATTGCCTTTGAGGCCTGGGTCTTTGGCTGAACCAGGGCAGTTACGCGCACCTAGCTCCCCCGGGTTCGAACGCATCTCCTGGGGCTTCTTTGATTGCCTTTGAGGCCTGGGTCTTTGGCTGAACCAGGGCAGTTACGCGCACCTAGCTCCCCCGGGTTCGAACGCATCTCCTGGGGCTTCTTTGATTGCCTTTGAGGCCTGGGTCTTTGGCTGAACCAGGGCAGTTACGCGCACCTAGCTCCCCCGGGTTCGAACGCATCTCCTGGGGCTTCTTTGATTGCCTTTGAGGCCTGGGTCTTTGGCTGAACCAGGGCAGTTACGCGCACCTAGCTCCCCCGGGTTCGAACGCATCTCCTGGGGCTTCTTTGATTGCCTTTGAGGCCTGGTTCGATCAACCGCGAAATCGGAAATTGCACTAAGTCCTTCATATGTGTCTGTTATCGAAAACTTGACGGCAGGTCAGCGAAACCCAGGGACGCGCTACCCCCCCTCCAGGCGCGGGTCATGCCGGAGAGAGTGGTCTCTATCCGGGCATGGCTTGGTGGGCTCTCCCCTGGGTCTAACCGACGCCCCCGGTGAGCGCACTAATGTTTCAGCTGATGCGTAAATTGGTACCGCTGGTGCACCATTGGCCTCCAGGGCTCCATGTCCCGCGCTCTTTGCCCAATACACCCTCACTTATCCCGGGGAACCACTGATCGCCAAAGACCCCCCCCTCCTGGCTCTCTGACCCCCTCGCTTACCGTTGGTGACCCAAATAGGCCTTTGCGCGCGCTGGCCTGCGGGGATATGAGCGCTGGGAGGCGGGTTAGCAGCTCAGCAATGGACCCCTAGCTCCCCCGGGTTCGAACGCATCTCCTGGGGCTTCTTTGATTGCCTTTGAGGCCTGGGTCTTTGGCTGAACCAGGGCAGTTACGCGCACCTAGCTCCCCCGGGTTCGAACGCATCTCCTGGGGCTTCTTTGATTGCCTTTGAGGCCTGGGTCTTTGGCTGAACCAGGGCAGTTACGCGCACCTAGCTCCCCCGGGTTCGAACGCATCTCCTGGGGCTTCTTTGATTGCCTTTGAGGCCTGGGTCTTTGGCTGAACCAGGGCAGTTACGCGCACCTAGCTCCCCCGGGTTCGAACGCATCTCCTGGGGCTTCTTTGATTGCCTTTGAGGCCTGGGTCTTTGGCTGAACCAGGGCAGTTACGCGCACCTAGCTCCCCCGGGTTCGAACGCATCTCCTGGGGCTTCTTTGATTGCCTTTGAGGCCTGGGTCTTTGGCTGAACCAGGGCAGTTACGCGCACCTAGCTCCCCCGGGTTCGAACGCATCTCCTGGGGCTTCTTTGATTGCCTTTGAGGCCTGGGTCTTTTGCTGAACCAGGGCAGTTACGCGCACCTAGCTCCCCCGGGTTCGAACGCATCTCCTGGGGCTTCTTTGATTGCCTTTGAGGCCTGGGTCTTTGGCTGAACCAGGGCAGTTACGCGCACCTAGCTCCCCCGGGTTCGAACGCATCTCCTGGGGCTTCTTTGATTGCCTTTGAGGCCTGGGTCTTTGGCTGAACCAGGGCAGTTACGCGCACCTAGCTCCCCCGGGTTCGAACGCATCTACTGGGGCTTCTTTGATTGCCTTTGAGGCCTGGGTCTTTGGCTGAACCAGGGCAGTTACGCGCACCTAGCTCCCCCGGGTTCGAACGCATCTCCTGGGGCTTCTTTGATTGCCTTTGAGGCCTGGGTCTTTGGCTGAACCAGGGCAGTTACGCGCACCTAGCTCCCCCGGGTTCGAACGCATCTCCTGGGGCTTCTTTGATTGCCTTTGAGGCCTGGGTCTTTGGCTGAACCAGGGCAGTTACGCGCACCTAGCTCCCCCGGGTTCGAACGCATCTACTGGGGCTTCTTTGATTGCCTTTGAGGCCTGGGTCTTTGGCTGAACCAGGGCAGTTGCGCGCACCTAGCTCCCCCGGGTTCGAACGCATCTCCTGGGGCTTCTTTGATTGCCTTTGAGGCCTGGGTCTTTGGCTGAACCAGGGCAGTTGCGCGCACCTAGCTCCCCCGGGTTCGAACGCATCTCCTGGGGCTTCTTTGATTGCCTTTGAGGCCTGGGTCTTTGGCTGAACCAGGGCAGTAACGCGCACCTAGCTCCCCCGGGTTCGAACGCATCTCCTGGGGCTTATTTGAATGCCTCTGGGGCCTGGTTCGATCAACCGCGAAATCGGAAATTGCACTAAGTCCTTCATATGTGTCTGTTATCGAAAACTTGACGGCAGGTCAGCGAAACCCAGGGACGCGCTACCCCCCCCTCCAGGCGCGGGTCATGCCGGAGAGAGTGGTCTCTATTCGGGCATGGCTTGGTGGGCTCTCCCCTGGGTCTAACCGACGCCCCCGGTGAGCTTATCCATAGCGTTTGCCAGCGGTCGTTCCAAAGACCCCCCCCGCTAGAGACCCACCATCCCCCAAATGAGTGTTAGTTGTTTCAAACAGCAAAAAAATAAAATCAATGCATTTCGTTTTCAAAATGAATTTTTTTTACTTTCTCTCTGCATTATATTTCCTAGAGGAGCACATGCACAAACAGAGCCCCACCTTCTCTTCCCACAGGAGCCGCGGCAACCACGGATAATCCCGCAGGAAAGTCTCGTAGCTCAGGCAGTGTTTGACCGCGGAGGAAACGTTCCCCATCCGGCCAGCGCGACCTGCCAGCCCGGTGCTTTTCCGCAGTGACACCGGTGGTGGAGACGACCGAGCATCTGCGCTTTTTCACCGTCAGCATCACCGCGACCTACGCTGGCTGTCGCTAGAAGAGATACAGCTGTGGACGGAAGTTAACGATAATTATTAATATTCTTTAGTAAATGATTAATTGTATTTCAATATTCTCTAAAACAGTATTTGTCTTATTCGTATTATTTATTGAATTACTCATTAAATAATATTTTAACGTCTACCCCTACCCCAACCATCACAGTAATGTTAAAATAGTAATTATACAGAGTTTTATTCATATTATTTATCAAACTACCCATTAAATTGTATTTTATTAATGCCTACCCCTAAACCTAACCATCACAGTAATGTTAAAATAGTAATTATACAGAGTATTATTCATACTATTGATTAAATTACTCATTAAATTGTAGTTTTAACATCTACCCCTAAACTCAACCATCGCAGTAATGTGAAAACAGTATTTATACAGAGTATTATTCATAATATATATTAAATTGTATTTTATTAACCTCTACCCCTACCCCAACTATCATGGTAAAGTAAAAACAGTAATTATAGCAAGTTTTATTCATATTATTTATGAAATGTACCCATTAAATTGTATTTTATTATTGTCTACCCCTACCTAAACCATCACAGTAATGTAAAAACAGTATTTATAGCGAGTATTATTCATAATATTTATTAAATTATCCATTAAATTGTATTTTATTAACATCTACCCCTGAATCCAACCATCACAGTAATGTAAAAACAGTATTTATATAGAGTATTGTTCATATTATTAATTAAATTACCATGAATTTGTATTTTATTAGCGCCTAACCCTAACCCAACTATCACAATAATGTAGAAAAAAGTATTTATACCAAGAATTATTCATATTATTTACTAAATTACCCATTAAATTGTATTTTATTAACACTTACCCCTACCCCAACATTACAGTAATGTTCAAACAGTAATTATAAAGAGTATTATTTGTAATATTTATTAAAATATTGATTAAATTGTATTTTTTAATGTATACCCCTACCCCAAACATCACCGTAATGTAAAAACAGTAATTATACAGAGTATTATTCATATTGTTTATTAAATTACATTTTAAATTGTATTTTTTTAATGTTTAACCCTACCCCAACCATCACAGTATTGTAAAAACAGTAATTATACAGAGTATTATTAATAATATTTATTGAATTACTCATTAAATTGTATTTAATTAATGTCTACACATAAACCCAACCATCACAGTATTCATATTATTTATTAAATTTGTATCATATGGTTGTTTATAAATAGATGTTAATAAAATACAATTTAATGGGTAATTTAACAAATAATTTGAATAATACTGTGTATAATTACTGTTTTTACATTACTGTGAGGGTTGGGTTTATGAGTAGATAATAATAAGGGTAGATATAATTAATAATATGAATAATACTCATTATAATTACTGTTTTTACATAAGTGATGGTTGGGTTTAAGTTTGGGATAGGGGTAGATGTTGATCAAATACAATAATAGTAATGCCTGGCTGCAGCTGTATCCCTTCTAGCAACCGGATGACTCAGCTGTTGCCATAGCAGCAGGCAGCATCCCTGCCGGTGAAGATGCTACACAGCGCTTTGTTGTTAGCTTTAGACTGACAGCTCCATGTTAAATATGAGACCCGCTGGGGGGATTCTGGGCTCTACAATAAGACTAACCGCGAGCTGCTTATTTTACCGGCCTTGGCACTCCTCCCCGGCGGAGGAAATCTACAGCTTTGGGGAGTGAAAGAAAAAAACGTGATTGATCTCCTGTGGCTGAGGCGGCTCATGCTTCTCAATGCCACTCCTGCCAATGTCAACCGTGCTCTGTTATAAAATCTCTCTGTAAAGCCAGGCCGCAATTTACTTGTGAAAGAGCCATTCTTCCAAGCCCAGGTGCTTACAATAGAGAGGTTTAAGGAAGCTCTTGTGCTCGGCTCTTCCTCAATAACTTGCCTCTCTCTTAATGGGGGAGAATCGCGGCTGGGGTTGCTTTTATTGGGGTATCAGTGGCCTATTTCTCGTTTGTGACCCTGGACAACAAGACCAGTCATGAGTGTCAATTTTCTGAAATGTCTGAGGTATAAGATTTATACCTGAAAGCTGAATAAATAATCTTTCCAGTAAGCTTTCAGACAAACCTTGAAGCTATTTAAAAATCTGTAATCTGAGGGTTAAAATAAATATATATACTTACCGGCCACTTTATTAGGTACACTTTACTAGTATCAGGTTGGCCCCCATTTTGCCTTCAGAACCGCCTTAATCCTTCGTGGCAGAGATTCAACAAGCTACTGGAAATATTTCTCAGAGATTTTGCTCCATATTGACTTGATAGCATCACACAGTTGCTGCTGATTTGTCGGCTGCACATCCATGATGCCAATCTCCCGTTCCACCTCATCCCAAAGGTGCTCTATTGGATTGTGATCTAGTGATTGTGGAGGCCATTTGAGTACAGTGAACGTACTGTCATGTTTAAGAAACCAGTCTGCACAGCACAATGCAAAAAATACTATTCTTATGTACAGTTTGTGTCTTGTTTCTAGTCCAAATATCTAAAAAGTCTTAAATCAAGAAGCATTTTTCTTACCTATAAAGCTTTAAATAGTCTAGCTCCTGTTTATCTAACCAACCGTCTGTCTCGCTACAATCCAACCCGCTCTATAAGATCTCAAAACTCAGGGTTTCTGCTAGTACCTAGAATAGCAAAGTCCACTAAAGGAGGTCGAGCCTTCTCATTTATGGCTCCCAAACTCTGGAATAGCCTTCCTGATAATGTCCGAGGCTCAGACACACTCTCTCAGTTCAACACTAGATTAAAGACCTATCTGTTTAGTAAAGCACACACTCAGTGCATCACTTAGCGGTGTGATACATGAATGTGCCCCACGCAGGTTTCTGCATCTCGTTTACCTACACTATGAACAGCAGCTACGCTAATTATTCTCTTTATTCTCTATTTCCACCTGGGGATACTCATCCTGAGGCCCTCAGACTAATCAGCGCCACTGATTCGATTCAAGACCAGCAACGAGATGATCCCAAGGTTTTCATAATCCTAGACCAGGCCGTATCCTGAGCAGCTGCTGTGGTGGTCATAGAGGAGTGAAATGACGAGTCTTCGCTGAGGTCCAGCATTCTCCAGCCTCCCGCACCTAGACTGCAGCTCTGCACAAGACGTTTGGCCCGTGGAGAAATGGTCGTGCCCAACTGAGCCTGGTGTCTCTCAAGGTTTTTTAATTCTGTCGCCACTGGCTTGCATGGTTCGAGATCTGTAGAGCTGCGCATTGATGGATTTGCTCTTCAGTGTTTGGACTCTCAGTAGTGATTATTAAACCACACTGAACTGAGCTAAACTGAACTGAACTTAAACTCTGAAAACTGAACTGACACTGTTTCAATTTACTATGATCTTCTATGTGAAGCTCCGTTAACTCAATCATTGTAAAAGCGCTAAACAAATAAAGGTGAACTGAATTGAAGACAAGCAACAAATATTGTCTTGTTTTCAGAAATAATAAATCAAAATTAAGAGTTTTTTCTCTTAAAACAAGCAAAATAAGCTGCCACTGGGGTAAGCTAATTAACTAGTGTTTACTTTAAAAATAAGATTATTTTGCTTCTTTTTGACATTTTATTTCTGAAGACAAGACGTTCATTTTTGCATTTTTTGCTTGATTTAGATATTTGGACTACAATCAAGACAAAAACTCTTAAGTGAGAAAAACATTTTGTTTGTGAACACCAATAAAATCTGTTTTAACGCAGGGAGACCATGCAAACTCCACACAGAAATGCCAACTGACCCAGCTTAGGCGCTAACCAGCTACCTTCTTGCTGTGAGGCACTACCTTCTATTTTCTTTATTTCATATGCAATTAAACATGTCAGAAAAAGACTACATTCAGCTGCACTGAAACACTGTTTTCACAATGCTCTTTTGGAAATATGGGTTTCTTGGTTGCCAAAGCAGTATTTGTTCATTCAATGACATTTTTGTCTGACCACTGGCAGAAAAGGAGACTTTATTCCATTTGAAGAGACCAATTTACAATTAGGATTTGGCTCATTTCCACAAAAGTCACAAAAATCATACATTTAAAAACTCAAATCATTTAAGTTTTGATATAATGCAAATAAGCAATGTTAATATTTAAAACTGTATACAGTGAAGATCAAATTTGAGAATAACCTACAGTTTCCTAACTGCAAGTCCTATTTCAATTTATCCTTCACTGTAAAAAATATCCGTAAATTAGCAGTTTTCTGTATTTTATGTTTCATTTTTTTTTTCTCTGTTCATTTAAACTTTTGAATCGCATTATGGGAGCTTGATCTTTCTTCCCACAACTTTTGACCTTAAAAAGTTCGAAAAAGTGACTTTAATGAACATTTGTAATAGTTTTTGTGCTGTATTGTCTGGGTTGGTGTTGTATATTAGTCACAAAAACCTTGTAATAAACTGACCGCACACTTATTTCCATATATATCACTTCTCATACATGATATTATTATTTTAAACAACTAAAATGTTAATAAAAGTCACTTTGTTAAACTGTAAAGTTGAATTTTCAACATAAAAAGTGGACAGAGCAGAAATCAACATCCTATAATGTAATTCACAACCGTAAATAAACAACAATAATTAACAGATATTTCTTTTTAAAGTGTAACAGGAGTAGCCTATTATGAAGCACACCATAAAACACTTAAATAAGATCTATGAAAAGATCCCTGATCAAATAAGTGAACTCTTTCAGATCCTCCCTGTCATTAGTGTTAATCTGATGCACCTGATGCTAATTTCCTCATTATCCGACAATCCCTATTTAACAGCTGAACTTTCCGGTTTTCACAAGCCGTGCAGTCCACTGACTCATTCAGTCCTCCAAAAGGTGGATATCCATGTAGAAACTCTGTGGACAAATAAATTAAATCATTTTATAGTCAAAATCGCTGTATTTTGCATATCTCCTGTTCAATTATTGCGTGGTAAACCAGCACAGAGCTCTACTTCACGTCAAATTGCGCAATCCCTCGCGTACCGAGATGAGCGCGTGCTTTTTGCTCACTCCGTGTATGCTACCAATGTTATGCTTTATTAAAATCCTTCTATACGTTGTAGACATTTTTACTATATTTCCTAGCCTTATATAATATTGTATTTCACGATTGCTATCACTTATTTACATACAGCCGC